CAGAAAGAGACAGAGGAGAGTGAGGGAGCTATGGGGAGCCAGAGACGGAGAGGAAAGGAGATTCCGAGAAAGCGGGAGGCCCGGAGAAGAGACGGGCAGAGAGGCGGGAGGCCGAAGCTGAGACGCGGAGAGACGCCCAGGGCAGCGCGAGAGAGGTGGAGACCCCCAGACAGACGGAGAGAGAGACAGATGCCGGGAGGTGACCCCCAACCGCCGGGGACCCCCAGGGAGTCAGCGGGGACCGAGGGACGCAGACGCCCAGGCATCCCGACAGAGAGGTTCCGGGAGGGAAACTGAGGCAGAGAACCACCCCCCCCAGGAGGTGAGCGCAAGTCCAGAGCACCGACCCCAGCCAGGGGGAAGAGAGAAAGAGAGACAGTGGTGCAGACAGGAACGGGAGAACCAGACAGATGCGGACCGACGGACAGACAGCGGCCGGGGAGGGCCGGGGGGCGGGCTGGGGGTGTGATGCGGGAGCGGGGCGGCCCGGGGGGCGCTGATTGGCTGGCGGGAGCGGGGGTGGGCGGGGCAGCTGGGGGATGGGCTGCCGGGGAGCCAGCGGGCCCGAGCCCCCGAGCGGTGCGCCGCCGCCGGGTCTCCCTCCGCCTCCCGCGGCCCCCGCTGCGCCCGCGCCTCTGCCTCTCTCCGCCCAGGTGCGCTCCGGGAGCCATCCCCGGCACCACGGCCCGGCCTTCCGCGGTCCACTAGGGGGTGGGCATGTCCCCCTGGGGAGGGGTCTGGGCCTCCGGGTTTCTGTCCTGGTCTCCTTCCTCTGCTCTCAGTCGGGCTCGGGCTCCCGAGGCCCGGGGAGGGGGCAGGTTCTGGCCTGTGCCTCCCCCCTCATGCCCCGCCCCGGGGCCCAGATTCCGGCGTCCGGGGGCGGACGGGAGACGCCCGGCCCGTCTACCCGCCCCGGGCCGCGTCTGCTCCGACGGGCGGGGCAGCCAGAGCCGGAGAGGGAGAGGGAAGCCCGCCCCGGCCCTGCGACCTGCCCTGGGCGCTCCACCCTGGGACTCGAGACCCCCCAGTCCCTCCTCCCTCAGACCCACCAGTCCCGTCTGAGCTCTCTGCTTCCTCCCGCCCCCAGGTGTTTGCTGCCTGGTCCTGGTCGCCCTGAGCCTGTGGCCAGATAGAGCTGCTGCCCCAGGGCCACCTCCTGGCCCCCCGCGGGCCTCCCCAGACCCTCGGGCTGAGCTGGACAGCGCCGTCCTCCTGACCCGCTCCCTCCTGGCGGACACTCGGCAGCTGGCGGCACAGCTGGTAGGAGAGCCTGGAGGGGATGGGCTGGGACCGGGACCAGGAGTGGGGAGGGCTCCTGGGCTACCACGGTGGCAGAAACGGGGGGAAGGGAGGAGTTTGGGGCCTGTCTGGAGGATGGAGGGACCCTTGGAGCTGGGCAGGGTCCCCCTCAAGGCTTCTTTGCCCCCACAGAGAGACAAATTTCCAGCCGACGGAGACCACAACCTGGACTCTCTTCCCACCTTGGCCATGAGTGCAGGGGCGCTGGGAGCCCTACAAGTAAGGGAAGGGGAAAGGGACTCGGGCAAAGGTGAGATCTGGGCATGGAGGGGGCGCGAGGGATTGGGGGCCAGAGCAGGCAGGTGGCAGGTGTTCCCTGACGCCCCCCATGCCCTGTGTCCTAGCTCCCAGGTGTGCTGACACGGCTGCGAGCCGACCTGTTCTCCTACCTGCGCCATGTGCAGTGGCTGCGCCGAGCCGGGGGCCCTTCCCTGCGGACCCTGGAGCCGGAGCTGGGTGCCCTGCAGGCCCGGCTGGACCGCCTGCTTCGCCGGCTGCAGCTCCTGGTAGGACACTCCAGCCCCCAGATCTGACACCTAGACTTGAAACCCGAGACCCCAGGACCCTCTGAGACCCTCCTCTGTGTCCCAAACCCTGTGGCCCCGAGACGCCCCCCAGACCCTGCCATCTCCAGACCTCAGAAACCTAGACCCTGAGGTCTCAGACCTTGAGCTCTGAGTCTCTAAGACCTCAGATGCTGGTCTTGAGCCCTTACGACCCCCAAACCCTGACTGCTAAAATCCTAGACCCAGCACCCTGAGATCAGAAAACTTCAGATACCACTTCCTGGGCCTGACCACAAAGACCCTGGACCTCAAATTCCAGCTCCCCATTCTGAGAGCCCAGCCCTCATCCGTGAGTCCCTGAGCTTGGATCGGAGAGACCCCACATCTAAGACCCCAGCCCCGAGATCTTAGACCCGACCCCAGACTTGAGCCCACAGCCCCCAGCCCTCACCTAGCACCAGGATCCTAGTCCTGATTCTATAGACCTCGCCCCCAGGCCCCTGGACTGGGCCCTGGAATTCCAGCTCTGACACCCCCACCTTTTGGTCCCAGTCTTCATTTTCTGAACCCAACATGCTGAGAACCGCCCACCCAGAAACCCTACCCCACAGGCCAGAGACACTTCGGAAGCATGCAGCCTGGACTCCCCAACCTCCCATTCAGACCCCTTCCTGGGACCCCCACTGACCCCCTGACCTACTGCTAACCCGCTGTCCTCTCCCAACAGATGTCCCGCCTGGCCTTACCCCAAGCACCCCCAGACCCACCAGCTCCCCCGCTGGCTCCCCCGGCCTCTGCCTGGGGAGGCATCAGGGCAGCCCACGCCATTCTTGGGGGGTTGCACCTGACCCTTGACTGGGCCGTGCGGGGCTTGCTACTGCTGAAGACTCGGCTGTGACCCGCCACCCGAAACCACCAACGTCCTTCGATGCCACATCTTATTTATTTATTTATTTTGGGACTGGGGGCATGGCAGCAGGAAAACACCCCCTCCTCCTCTCCCCCTAATTCGAGACGGTCCCTCCAGGAGACCTGGGCAGAGTCGGGGGGGGTTATCTGTGCCTTATTTATACTTATTTATTTAAGGGGGTGGGTGGGAGGCAGGTGGACTTGGGGACCAAAGGGGCAGGGAACTGGAGTCCTAGATTCTTGAATCTCTTAAGAAGTCGGGCTGCAGGCTTTCCCTGTCCCCTAGCCCTCTGGGCCTGGGCAGGAGCATATATTATTTATTAAACAATTACTTTTTGGGTTGGGGTGGGGAGGGAAAGGGAAAGGAGGCCTGGGTTTTTGTACAAAAATGTGAGAAACCTTTGTAAGATGGAGAAAGGGGAATTAAATTTGTCATACACATCCACTTAGAGGCGATTTCTCTGAGCACTGAGGGTTGGGGGCTGGTCATCAGGGTCCCTGGAGCAGAGAGAGGTAGGGACCCTTAGTGGGCAGGAGAGCAGAGAGGAGATTGTTGGTCCCCCAGGGACCCTGAGTGCTGAGGGGCAGGGTCTGAGCCTGCACTTTGTAGGCACTCCATAAATTAATAGAAGGTTCCAGAAGGCCATCCTATGCACTACAATACTTGCATGTGACAAAGCTACAAGTTTGACGTTCGTTATGGTGATGTTCGCAACAGCAAATCAGAAACCACCTAGATGACCAACAATGAGGGATGGTTTAATAAATTACACCCATCCATGTGATGGAACACCATCAGCCATGCCGAGGGGATGAGATGGAGGCTGCTTTAAGACATAGAGAAAGCAGTCTACTGACCACTGCATGATTCCCATTTTGTGTCTCTCTGGATGGATGGATGGATGGATGGATGGATGGATGGATGGATGGATAGATGTTTTTAAAAGTCCTAGAACATGGGGCACCTGGCTGGCTCAGTCAGTAAAGCATGTGACTCTTGATCTCGGGGTCGTGACTTCCAGCCACACATTGGGCATAGAGCTTACTTTAAAAATAATAATAATAGGGACGCCTGGGTGGCTCAGCCTTCAGCTCAGGTCACAATCCCGAAGTCCCAGGATCGAGCCCCGCATCGGGCTCCCAGCTCAGCAGGGAGTCTGCTTCTCCCTCTGCTCTTCACCCTGTTCTCATGCTCTCTCTAGAATAAATAAAATCTTTAATAATAATAATAAGTCCTAGAAGAAAATGCACCAAAATGTTGACAATGGTCCCCTCAGGGTGGAAGGTGGGGTAGAGTTATGAGTGACTTTTTAAAAAATCTGTGCTTATCTGTATTATCCAGAATTTCTACAATGACCATGTATTTTGCATGACACATTTAAAAAAATAATAAACACTTTTTAGAATGGAAGAATACCAGTCAACACCTTCTCCCCAAATAAACCCTCAGAAGGAGTCAAGAATCATGGCTCACTGAGTGCCTGCTCTGGACCGTGACTTAAGTGTGGGGTTTTAATTACAGGATCCCTTGAATGTGCCATTATGCCCCACTTCACAGGTGAGGGGAGGTGAGGTGGGGGGTGGTGGTTGTTGTTCAGGGTCACATGGCTAGGGAGAGACAACTGTGATTCTGCCAGAGGTCTGGCTCATTCCAAAGCGCACGTCCTTTTCTTTAGAACCCATGTTCAGCAGTTGTTGCCACAGACACAAATAGCTTACATATGAGGAAACTGAGGCCCAGTGGGGGGTATGAGTCTTACTCAAGGTCCAGAGGAAGGTCAGTGGTGAGTTGGGGCTGTACTCAGGCCTCCCTTCTTAAGAGTCAGAAATTCTTGGTTAATTATCTGTTTACAATATCGAAGACAGCACCCTCCCCCCCCGCCACCTGCCCCCACCAAGGGTCCGGTGTTTTCACTAGTTTGGGTCTGGATTGGGGGCTTCTGATTCACAGACTTCAACCCTCAAGACCCTAGGCCACATCCTGGGGAAGGGAGCCTATCCGTGCCCCCCCAGAGAGTTCCCAGAAAGAGTCCTACACGTGTCTGATGAGGTCACAAAGCCCTTCCACGGGAAGGCTCCTCCCCCAGGCTAGGGCTGACCACCCCCCCCTTCAGGGCCATGGCCAAGCCCTGGGGAAGCTCCACTCTGTGGAACCGCTGAGCTCCCGCACCTGTGAAGCCCAAAGGGCCAGTACGGGTGGGCTGGGGGACACTGGGCAGACCATGTGCCCAGGTGCCCGGCTCCCTGACTGTGTGTCCGTGGTGACTCATCTTTTCTCCAGCCGCCATGAACCGGTTTCAGAACATCAGGCGCATGGAGTCACTCCAGGGACCCTCAAAATGGGTCCCCACTCTGGGCGAGCTGCAGAAGACCCTCCAGAAGGGCGAGTACCTGCCCCTCCGCCCGCTGCCCATGTTCGAGAGTAACTTTGTCCAGGTCCCCAGCTTCCTGTACCCTGGGGGCGGAGAGAGGCAGGAGGGGATTGGAACTCCCTGGGCTGGGGGACTTGAACCCAGGCAGGCATGAGGCAGTGGGAGGGGGGCAGCTCCGGTGGCAGGGGGCTTGGGCTGGGGGTGCCAGAGGAGCACTGGAGAAGGAGTGGTTCCAGCCCCTCTCCCTGGCCCCCCAGGTGACCAATCAAGGGGCCCCCGTGTACGTGCACCACAGAACCAACCGTCTGACCATGGGCGTGGCTGCCTCCTTGCCAGGCCTGGTACTGCCAGACATCCTGCTGATCGCTCAGCCTGGAGAGGGCAAGGAGTGCTCCCACCTCGTCCTTACCAGGTGCCTGCATCCCCCCCATCTGCCCCAGGAACCTCGTCCTCACCAGATGCCTCCACCCTCCCATCTGCCCCAGGGAGTGCTCCCACCTCATCCTCACCAGGTGCCTCCATCCCCCCATCTGCCCCAGGAACCTCGTCCTCACCAGGTGCCTCCATCCCCCCATCTGCCCCAGGGAGTGCCCAACCTCATCCTCACCAGGTGCCTCCACCCTCCCATCTGCCCCAGGGAGTGCTCCCATCTCATCCTCACCAGGTGCCTCCACCCCCCATCTGCCCCAGGAAACTCGTCCTCACCAGGTGCCTCCATCCGCCCCATCTGCCCCCGCCGGGTCCCATCTCCTGCTCTACCATCTCCATCTCCTTCCTGCCCCCACCCCCCAGGATGCTCCCGCTGGACCTGGCCCACCTCTATGTGCATGATCTGTCTGCCTGGCGCCTTAAGCTGCGCCTGATCACAGGCCGTTACTACTACCTGGAGCTGGACGCCCCTGGTAACGAGGCTGGCTTCCTGTTTGACCGCTGGATCCGTCTCATCAACCTGCTCCATGAGCCTGCCACAACCTGGGCCCCCAGGACTCTGAATACACCCACCACGGACCTGGCCCATGTGGTACCTCCGGCCTCCACCTGGCGCCTCCAGGTGGGCACTGCCCCCACAGCCCCCGGGGGCAACTATGGTTTTAGATTTCAGAGCCAAGACAAACAACCTGAAATCCAGAATCCCAAGAAATGAGGCTGGGGGCCTGGATGACAGAGGAGGGGCTGGGGGCTAGACTCCTGGGTCTGAGGGAGGAAGGGCTGGGGATCTGGACTCCTGGGTCTGATGGAGGAGGGGCTGAGGACCTGGACTCCTGGGTCTGAGGGAGGAGGGGCTGGGGGCCCGGACTCCTGGGTCTGAGGGAGGAGGGGCTGGGGTCTGGACTCCTGGGTCTGAGGGAGGAGGGAGCTGGGGGCCTGGACTCCTGGGTCTGAGGGAGGAGGGGCCTGGGGGGTCTGGACTCCTGGGTCTGAGGGAGGAGGGGCTGGGGGTCTGGACTCCTGGGTCTGAGGGAGGAGGGGCTGGGGGTCTGGACTCCTGGGTCTGAGGGAGGAGGGGTCTGGGGGGTCTGGACTCCTGGGTCTGAGGGAGGAGGGGCCTGGGGGGCCTGACTCCTGGGTCTGAGGGAGGAGGGTCTGGGGGCCTGGACTCCCGGGTCTGAGGGAGGAGGGGCTGGGGGCGTAGATTCCAGGGTTTGCAGGGGCAGAGGACAGGACCCCTAGTCTTGGCTGGGGGAAGGGTTGGGGTCCTGGAGCCCTGGGCTGGTTAGGTAACGGAGATGTGGAAACCAGGAGGCGGCCACCCCTCCTGACTGGCCTCCTCCTTGTCCACAGGCCCAGCCCCAGTGCAGACGCTCAGGTGAGCAGGCTCAGTGTCCATCAGGCTCTTCCCCGCTTCTCAGCATCTGCTGCAGTAGGAGCGGTCAGACCTTCCCCTTCTCCCCTGGCCAAGCCCCCTGCGCGTCTCCCTGTGTCCTCCCTGTCAGAGACACTGACTCAAAACCTCCCCTCCTCTGCAGTCATGATTGTCGAGCCCACCTTTCCTTACAAGTTAATGGCATCTCAGAGACAGAAGAAGACCAAGGTGAGCAGGCCAGGCAGGACTGGCTGCTGGTGGGTGGAGGCTGGGGGTGCTGTGCCTCCTCACTGCCCTCCGTCCCTCCTCCCACTGTCAGACCCTCAAGCGCAGATTCAAGTCTCAGGCCGTGGGCGACTCTGTGCCCCTCATCTGGTCGCGTCTGGAGCATGCTGAAGCTAAAAAGAAATCTGCAGAAAAGTAGGCTTAGGGTCTTGCTCCTGGTGGGAGGGAGGGGAAGGCTGAGGACCCTGGTACAGATGCCATCATAGTCACACCACTTTGCCTCCACAGGTCCCAACCAAAACTCTACGCTGACACATCTCGGACGAAAATCCAGGTTTCTGGTGAGCACACCCCCCCCTCTATTATGGATCCGCAAAATTCTCGCCCTTCCCCTGAAGGCTCAGACTACTTTCTTCCCACCCAGAGAAGCCCAGCATCACCATCCGTACCATCTTCAGCATCATTTCCGACACCATCAACAACACACAGTCCTCTTCCAAGGCAGCTATTTACTGGGGGCCCAACTCTTGGTCTGAGGGAGGAGGACCTGGGGGCCTGGACTTCTGGGTCTGAGGGAGGAGGGGCTGGGGGGTCTGGACTCCTGGGTCTGAGGGAGGAGGGGCTGGGGGCCTAGACTCCTGGGTCTGAGGGAAGAGGGGCCTGGGGGGCCCGACTCCTGGGTCTGAGGGAGGAGGGGCTGAGGTCTAGACTCCTGGGTCTGAGGGAGGAGGGGCCTGGGGGGTCTGGACTCCTGGGTCTGAGGGAGGAGGGGCTGGGGGCCTGGACTCCTGAGTCTGAGGGAGGAGGGGGCTGGGGGGCCTGGACTCCTGGGTCTGAGGGAGGAGGGGCTGGGGGCCTGGACTCCTGGGTCTGAGGGAGGAGGGCCTGGGTCCTGGGTCTGGGAGCCTCCCTTGGTCCTGACATCCTTCCCCTTTCTTCGGCCCATGTGCAGGGTTACTCCTCTGACTCTGAGGTGGGCATGGTCCTGGGAGGTTTAGTGGAGACCCCTGTCCGCTGTATCTCGGAGGGCAGCCGTGAGCCTTCCTTGCTGGGCTCATATGGTCGCTTGAACTCATACCTGTGGCGGCAGGCCATTGAAGACCTGATGGACCCGGATTCCAGCACCTTGTCCTCTTCCGTCTTCTGCCCAGCCCCCGGCCCTCCGGCCTTCCCCCTCCCTGCCACTCTCTCCTTCCATAAGCACAAAGGAGAGGCTGGGCACAGGCAGCGGCTGCCACTCTCCCAGAAGATGCTGTCTACCCGTGCTACCCCTTCGAAAGTTCCATTCATCCTCGACCAGTCCAAGAAGGTCTCAGCAGCGCGTGCTCCATCCCAGAAGACCTCGACCGCCCCTGGCCCTGGCCCATCCCGGAGGGCCCCAGCTGCACCTGTGGCTCCTCAGAAGGCCCCAGTAGCACGTGGCCCGTCCCGGAAGGCCGCACCTGCGTCGGCTACTTCCCCGAAGGCCCCAGCGGTACATGGCACATCCCGGAAGGCCCCACCTGCTTCGGCTAGTCCTCAGAAGCCTCCAGCCGTACCTTTCCCATCTCCAAAGTCCCCACGCATACAGGCTCTTCCCCCAAAGGCTGTGTCCCCCACTCGCCAAAGGAGGAAATCTTTCTTCCTCCCTACCCCATCCCAGAAGGCTGTGACCTCACCTAGTCAGTACAAGATGACACTGGATGGGGCCGATTTTGGCATGGTGCCTGAATTAAGTCCTAAAAGGGATGGGCTTGAGAGAAGGAAGCATGAAGGGACGCCACAGCCCATGTTGTACTTGGGCACCCAGGAGATGGACGTGCTAGAGACGAGGACCCAGAGAACATCCATGGAGCTGCCTTTCGCCACCACGAAGAAGCAGTCAGAGGAAGTCGTGATCAGCAAAGCCCGGGAGATCACCGTGGATGGCCTGAAGGGCAGGGGCACGTTGGAGGACAGGGTCCACAAAAAGAAGGAGAAAATATCCCTGGACATGCCCGGCTTCAAATCCAAGGAGAGAGGAGAGCAGCAGAGGTGGCTCAAGACCCAGGAGCTGGCCATTGAGGGAGGCCCAGAGGAACAGAGCAGGCCCTTCTCGGTGGAGGGGCTCACCCTTGCCAAGATGATGATCATGGCCAACTGCAAGGAGCCACCCCAGAGACCAGCTGCAGTCGGTCTGCCCTCCTGGCTCTCAGCTCCCCAGGCGTCTGCTATGTCAACAGAGGGCACAGTGCCCTTCAGCCCCCGTCACGTGTCCTCCCTGGAGGGGAAACTGGGGGCGGTTAGGGAGCAGTCCCCAGTGGGCTCCTGGGTGCCCTCGACAGAGGGGACACTGGTGGGGGTTAGAGAGCAGTCCCCAGTGGGCATCTGGGTGCCCTCGCTGGAGGGGATACCAGTGGGGGTTAGGGAGCAGTCCCCGGTGGGCACCTGGGTAAAGGGGAAAATGCATCAGTGGGCAGAGAGAAGCAAGCATCACTGGGTGAAGGAGCTTTCTCAGGACACAACAGGGCCTTCCGAAGTGCCCTACCTCACGGAGCTGGAGATGGACAGTGTCTCCCAGTCTCCCATCCCTCTGCCCGCGTCGGAGTGGGAGGGTGCACCCTGGTTGCCCATCTCTCTGACCCCCATCTCTGAGATGGAGGCTGGGGTGTCCCCACAGCTCACCAGTGTATCTCAAGAGCCTCAAGAGCCCAAGAAGATGTCAGATCCGAGCCCTCTGACCACGACCAGGTTGTCCTCAGAGGCTCTCTCACCCTCGCCCTTGGAAGTGGAGAGTGTGATGGACATGGCTACCAATGGGGAGAAGACAGAGGAACAGGATGTCTTCAGTGCTTCAGCCAGGTACTTGGGGTGACAGCTAACATGTTCTGTCAACTCCATTCTCTGCAAGGTAGAGAGGATCATTCCCTCTTTTTTCACTTGTATTTATGGACTCGATATATAGTGGGTCTAAGTTCTAAGTACTGGGGACAAAACACCGAGCAATTTGGGGAGTATATATGCTCCTGCCACCTGGTACGTAGAGCCCAGAGATGCTGTTTAACATCCTACAATGCACAGGATGGTCCCCCACCCCCACCCCCAGCTACGAGTGATCCACACAAACTGTCAGTAGTGCTGAAGTTAGGAATCCTGACAGTAAAAACTGAATCAATTATAGTGTATGATATAATGTGAGAGCTCCATGGGAAGACAGCAGGGGAAGGGGGGTACTAGGCGTGAAGGTAGGCAGCCTCCAGGATGGGACTGGTTGGTCCCGGAGGGCCTCAGTGAGCTGATGTCACTTGTGTAAAAGACCTGGAGGGGGGGGGGGACTCCATGCACACATCTGGGGAAGATAGGTGTGTGCAATATTATGTTGGACCAAGAGTGAGTTCCAGGGGGCCCCGGAGTAGAGAATGCCGTTGGAAGAGTCAGGGCAGTGGTGGCGATCATGGGGGACCTTGCCGGCTTTGATGCTGATGAGTGAGCTGGGGTGGGGGTGTTGTTGAGCAGGATGGCTGGAAGTGATGTATGTTAGAAAGGGGCTCTCTCTGGCCCAAGCATCGGGAAGGTAAGGGGGCAAGGATGGAAGCCAGGAGAGTAGGCAGGAGGCAGGCACCATGGTCCAGGCATGAGATGATGTTGGTTTGGACAACAGGGGGGTGTTGGAAGTGTTGAGAAGAGGCAGGACTCTAGAGATGCTCCAATGGCTGGGCCAACGGATTGGCTCATGGGCTGGGCCTGTCCATGAGGCATCAAGGGCAACTGTAGGGTTTGGGATCTGGGACACTGGAGAGATGTCGTTCGTGGCCATCAGCAGCATTCGGAGAAGCTGTAAATGCAGTAGGTGGCAGGTAGAGAGCATCAGGAATTCCGTTTTGGACATCTGAATTCCAAGATGTCTGGCGAAGATGTGCCGTAGTTAGCCGGATATGCGAGTCAGGAGTGACTTGGGAAATCATCGGCACATGGAGAGTTTCTGGAAGCTATGGGGACTGGAGGAGGTCTCCAGCCAGCGAGTGTGGACAACGAGAGTGTTTGGAAAAGGGGAGACCATAGTCGTGGTGTGCAGAATGGTGAGAGACGGGCATCCTGACCGCCACGGGAAGGGGGCAGCTGTGTCTAAGGCCACAGCGAGGTGCAGGACGATGGGACTGAGACAGGGCCTCTGGATTCATCAGCAAGGATTTGATTGTTACACGGTGGTAACAAAGACCTGAATGGGGCAGGCCTAAGGAAGCACAGAAAGCAGGGAGTCACCTGCTGTGATGCTTGAAAACATGATGCTGGGGGAAAGGAGCCAGATGCAAAAGGCCTCCTTGTGGATGATGCCCTTTGTATGAAGCTTGCGGGGCAGGCAAATCCAAGCAGAATGGTGGTCGCCAGGAGCCGGGAATGATGGGAGGAATGCGGAGGCGACGCATATGGGGAACAGGGTCTCTTTGTGGGGTGATGAAACGTTCTGGGACTAGGTGGTTGTGGTCCCACAATGTTATGAATGTAATTAATGGCATGGAACGACAGTTTAAAATGGTTGCGATGGTAAGTTTTATGTGATGTGTATCTTCCCACTATATACCTACTTACCTACCTCCGTACTTTCGCAGAGGGGCTTCGGAGATGAGGAGCAGACCAGCTTTTTGCAAGTAGCTTGCTGGAAGGGGAGGAGGGACCTGGAGAGGGAGCTGGTGTAGGAAGTGGTGGGCACAGACTGAGAGGAGAGGGCTGATAGTGCTCTCGGACGCGGTGTGAAGGATGCACAGCTAGGCTAGAGAGCAACTAGGCAGGAAGGAGAGGAACTGGGAGGTACACCGGGGGACAGGAAGACGCGGGGGGCGGGGGGAACCCTGTTCCCGCTCACGCTTCATTTGGCACGGGTTTACTGAGCACTCAGGGCGCTCTCCCTGTGGCCCCCAAAGCCCCCTTCGGCTTTTTCTCTCCCTCCAGCATGCTCAGTTCCGAGAGCCCTCGATAGCGGGATTCGGGGGACTTAATCTCAGTTGCCAAAGTGTCCAAAGGAGCCCAGCCTGGCCAGGGGGCCCGAGACCCCACAGACCCGCCTCAGTCCCGGCACCGGAGTCCAGGAGCTCAGACCCCACCCTGGCTCTTTCCTCTTCCCCACAGGCCCCCAGGGTGCTGTGCACCTCTACCGTGAGAAGCAGGGTGCTGAAAAGGCCGGGCGGGGGGATGCTCCCTCTCCAGTAGAGACCAGAGCTATCTCTACGTTTATATATTGGGGGGCGGGGAGCGGGACAGGGGAGAGCCCGCGGGGGACCCAGCTTCGCAGAGATTAAAAGCCTGAGTCTGAGACTCGGCAAAAGTCGTGCCTGGGTGCCTGTGTGTGCGTGGGGGACCCGCAAGAGCTTCGTGGGGCTGGGGGCAGGAGGCGGCGGGTGTGGGGGTCCACGCAGACCCCGCCCCGCGTCTTGGAACATCCCCTGCAGCGCCGCGGCTCCCATTGGCTGGGGTCCAGGGGTCCCAGCCAATCCTGCCAAGGGTCGTGTTTCTCCTGGGCTGGACCCCCGAGACTCAGAAGCGAGGGGCATCCCTGGACAGAGCCACAAGCACAGCTGACCTAGTGACACGTTGACATCACTCTGGTGAGGGCAGGGCGGGTGGGATCAGGGGCTGGCCTCCCGGGTGGGGGCCAGCAGCTGGGTGCGGGTCGGAACGAGGGGCGCCCCCAAGCCCCACGGAAACCCCCTTCCCCCGCAGGAGCTGCCGCCTCCGTGGATGTTGGATGTTGGTTCCCAGAAGCCCCCCAAGGGGAAATGGTCAACACCGCCCTTCGACCCGCGCTTCCCCAACCAGAACCAGACCCCAAACTGCTATCAGAACTTCCTGGGTGAGACCTTGCGGGCCAGGTTAGGGGCAGGGGGTGAGACAGGGGAGGCAGGAAGGGGAGCACCCCACCTGAAAATGGGAAGAAGGTCTGGGACCCGCCTTGGCGGCGGAGACCGTTGGGGTGGAAGGGGGGGGGGGAAACGACGGTCCGCAGGGGCGGGGCCTACCCGACAGGGGCGGGGCCTGGTGTGGAGGGGGCGGGACCGAGTCCTGGAGGGAGAGGCGGGGCCTGGTCGGGAGTGGGCGGGGCCTGGCCTGGAGGGGGTGAGCCGACAATGGTGGGGTGGGGCCTGCCGGGAGTGGGCGGGGCCTGGCCCAGGGGGCCGGGACCTAGTCCTGGAGGGGCGGGGCGAGGGATGGAGAGGCAGGGCCTGGCCGGGAATGGGCGGGGCTTGGTCTGGAGCGGGTGAGCCGACCGTGGTAGGCCGGGGTCTGGCCGTGGAGGGGCGGGGCCTGGAGGGGAGGGGCGGGATTGAGTCGTGGAGGGCGAGGGGACGGAGGGGGTGGGACCATCATTGGGGGAGGGAGCAAGGGGCGGTGCTAGGCCGGGAGGGGCGGGGCGGGGCCGCAGAGCCACCCCTCCGGCCCGGCCGGCCCACCCTGCAGACTACCACCGCTGCGTCAAGAGAATGAATCGCCGCGGGAAGAGCACGCAGCCCTGCGAGTATTACTTCCGCGTGTTCCACTCGCTGTGCCCCATGAGCTGGGTGAGCAGGCCGAGGGGGCGCCGGCGGCCGGCCGGCCGGGGCTAGGGTCGAGGGTCCCGTGTAGCTGAGCCGGCGCCCTCTGCCTCCCCTCCCGCCACTCCCCCCTTCCCCCGCGCCAGGTGCAGCGCTGGACCCAACAGATCCAGGACGGGACCTTCGCGGGCAACATCTGACGGCCTGAGTGCCGCTTCTCCGAAGGATCAGCGCACTGACCCCACATCCTGCCGTCTCGCGGAGACCCGGCCCTCGCTATCCACTCCCCAGTCTGTAAGCCACCAATAAAGCTCCGTTGCTGCTGATATTTCCGCCTTATATCTGGCGTGGGGGCTGGAGAAGTCCTTCCTGTGTCAGTGCCCTGCAGCTAACACTACTGGTTCTGATGGGGAGGGGGCAGGGATGGAGGGAGGATCGTCAGGTCTCTAGGGCAGGATCGAGCCCAGCCCCTCCCGCCCCCCGCTCCAGTGCCTCCAGCGGGCAGCGGCCGCCCGCCCAGGCTCCGTGGAGGACAACACTTGCCCACGAGGGTGCTCCTGACTGTCCATCCCCACACCTGGTCCGCCCTTCATCTCCTCCCTCAGGATCTTCGCCTCTTACCTCCGCAGACTCCTTTGGGACTTGCATTCCCAAGTTCTGGGGGGTTGTTTGGTTGTGTACCCCCCAGCGCTGACCCCAACCCTCCCTCCCCAGCTCCGGACCCGTCCCCAGCTCTTCACCACTCTCCGTCACTCCCCTGCCCCTGTCTGATTCCATTTCCCTCCAAGTACACCCCGGCCTCATCCTGCGCGCCCCTCCCAACAGTCTTCTGCACGCCCGGCCCCGGCCTTCCAGCACCGGCCCCAGCCAGAGCAGTCTCCTCCTTCGGTCTCCACAGATACTTGTCACATCAGTTTCTCCAGGATGCTCCTCCGGGACGCTCTGAGCTCCTGTCTGGATAATTCTTCGCTCCTGCCCCAGCCAGGCGCTGGGCCTGCCTTCAGCCAGCCTCAGAGGTGGCAACACTGAGATTCATTCTGATTCCAAATGCCCCTTGAAATGTCACCTGTCTAACCCTCCCACCTGCACCCTGGCCAAGGCTGAGGAGTGACACCGAACAAGCACAGAGCCCTGGGATTCTAGCCTGGCCTAAGTCCTGAGCAGGGGGACGACTGGATCTCACTGTTTCTCCCTGAAGCTGTATGCTTCCTGGGGCAGGCTGGACCCACACTCTGCCTGAAGTAGTCTCAAGAGGCCTGTTCAATCCCGGGGTTCAAGGGTGGCTATTACTAATCATAACAACTGAACAAGCCTCTTGAGCTGTGTGCACCTCAGTTTCCCCAGTTTTTAACCCAGATGGTGCAGAGTCCCGTTACCAGGAGAGGTGGGGTGATGGGAAGGGCTGAGCGGACTCAGGGGAGGACTGGCTCTATTCCGCTCCTCGCTCCTCCCGCCCTCCTTGATGACCATCCCTTGCATACCCTTCACACTGCCCTCATCACCCCACCCAGGGCACACCCCAGACGTCCCATCTGCTGGGAGGGCTGCACCCAGATACCTTGCCCCAGGACTTCCTCTCTCCAACCACAGCCTGAGAGGCAGGAGGGCAAGAGAGGGTGCAGGGTGTGCTGAGAGCTGCCGGAAGGGCTGTCCTGCTCTGCTGCGGCTGGATCAAGGAAGGGACACAGGCCAGGCAGCTCTGAGTCACCGAATGGGGCTGACGGGTGTCTGACACTCAGGTCACCCAGGTAGCCTCTGACCACAGGGTCTGACACCTGTGCAGCCCTGGCCAGCCTCTTGACCTCACCCAGGGTACCAGTGCCTGGAGTGCACTTTACCCCGTTGCCCAGAAGCCACTCCCAGCCTTCCTCCTCCTCTCCATCTTTGGCCCAGGATCCTCCCCACCATCATCCCTCTACTACATCTGGAAATTTTTTTTTTTTTTTAAGATTTTATTTTGGAGAGAGAGAGTGTGTGCTTGTGCAAGCTGGGGGGAGGGACAGAGGGAGAGGGAGCAGACTCCCTGCTGAGCACGGAGGCCCGCACGGGGCTCGATCTTACCACCCTGAGATCATGACCTGAGCGGAAATCAAGAGCCAGACGCTTAACTGACTGAGCCACTCAGGCGCCCCATTCTGGAACATTCTTTACACTCTGCCACCACTGTCCTACGGATGCCTGAGCCGGAGGCGGGGTCTGTGCCAGCATCACCGCAAACTCCCAGGCCCTGAACTCTGAACACCGGTTCCACTGCTCCCCCCCCAGCTCCTTGGAAGCAGCCTCCCAGGCTGCGCACCTCGTTCCCCGCCCCTCCCCCCAATCTGCACCCCTGCTCGCCTCACCACCCCCTTCCCCACCTCCCCCTCTTCCTCCAGTGCCATCCCCTCGACCTCAGGCCATCTCTCCTCCTCCTCCTGTCTCTGTAGACCCTCAGCCAGCTCCTTCCTCCCTCTCTGCAGAGAGGCTCAGTCAGGTGCTTCCCTCTCAGAATCACCAAACTGCTCAGCTGCCCTTCGAGGCACCTGCTCTCCCTCTCCTCCCCTCTCCTCCCCTCTCCTCCCCTCCCCCCGTGGAAGCCCTGCGACCCAGCTCCAGCCTCCTCTCTCTGGTGTCTGCCTCTTTGTCAGAGCCTGAGGAACTCTGAGAAATGGTTCAAGTCCCAGCTGCAGAGCATACCGGCCCTGTGGCCCCAGACAAATTCCCTAAGCCCCCTGCCCCATGGTCTTTTCATCCCAAATGCGGTGATGACAACACGTGGACTTCATAGGGCTGTTGGGGAGGATGATGCTGTTACAGGTTACAATCGTCTAGCCTGGTGTTCTCAGGGCGTGGCGGGGGGGGGGGCTCTGTCTGTGTCGGCAATTTGAGGGACTGAGAATCAGCTTGGCGGTCCGATGCTGGCGCCCCATGCCACACTGGACGGTGGGAGTGATGGATCGATAGCCAGCCGCCCTCCTCCATCAGCAGCTCCAGGATGGCCAGCCTGTCAACAGGGGCCTGGGGCTGCCGGAGACATCTGGTCAACGCCACGTGCATGTAAAAGGGTCAGAGAGCGCCCCCAAGGAGACACATGAGCCCAGGATTGGGGTGCCCGGCCTGGATGGCCCTCTTGGCTCTGCTGCAGTCCCAGCCACCAGAGGCGAGGAGAGAGCTGGGGAGGGGGCAGCAGAGCGCAGACCTCGCCCTGTGAGCTGCAAGCATTCCGTTTCCTGCAGCTCCTTCTTTCCTTCACCACCCAGGTCTTCCCTGTGCCCTCGCTCAGGCTGCCGTGGGTCTGACGGGGCTCCAGGCCCTGCCCTGCCCCTCACGCTCCCCTCCCCCTGGGCCTGAGCCACCAGGGGGAGCTCCTGATGCCAAGCCCGGCTCCCGGATCCCGCCCCCGGCCCCAGCCCCTGACACTTCACTGGCCACAACTTGAGCTCCTTGCATTTCCCTGTCGTGGTGGGGGCCATTTTCTCGGGGGTCAGGGCGGAAACTGGCAGCAAGGTGGGTGCCCGCAGGCCATCTGTAAAGGGGGGAACCCTGGGAGCGCTGTCGTGAAGGCTAGGCAGCGTCAGGGCCACAGTTCCTGCCCTGGAGGTCTTCCCTCCCCATCCCCTCCTCGTCCAGCCCAGTGACTCTCAGCAGAGGTGGCTTTGGCCCCAGGGGAACATTGGGCAGTGTGTGGAAACGCCTTTGTCACAACTGGTGCTCCTCATCCTACAACACAGAATTAGCTGGCTCCAGGTGGCGGCCGTGCCAAGGGTGAGACCCTGACCATCGGTTTCTGATCTTTGTTTCTGGGATTTGAGACACTCTTGAGAATCCGATGATGGCTTCAAACCCTCTCCCCTGAGAAGAACGCGCTGGTGCACATTTAAGATAGAATTTTCGGAGGTTCTTGTAACCCTCAGTGGCCGTCTGGGAGGAGAATCCTGTCTAGAAGCCAGGTCCTGCCTAGAAGCCACGGTGAAGGCGCCTGCACGCCAGTCCATGTAGAGGCCCAGTTCTTTACGGGTGACGCCATCCCTCTGCGGTCTCTTCTCCCCCATCTTTAACAGGAGGGAGAAACCTAGCAGGGGCAGCAGGAGTTGCAGGGGAGAGAGACACACCCTCACTCCTGCTGAAAGGAAGTGGGCTCTCTGTAAATGAAAGGAATTTCAAGTAAAAAGATTACAGCTCTGCATGGTCGCCCCCTCCCTGCCCCACCCGGTCCGCAGTCCCCCAGCCCAACCTGACCCTCAGGCATGGGGGAGGCCTCAGGGCCAAGGAAGAAAACAGTGCCCGCGGGCCGCTCACTGGTCTTGTTAGCTGTCTGCATTTCTTGCGTTTCTTCTGCACCACCAGGGTGGAGGTGACAATGAAGAGGGATGGCAGGGTCCCCACTGACCTGGATCCTGAGCAGCTTGAGAAGGTTCATTGCCTTGGTCCCACAGAGCCAGGCCGACCAACAGGACACGGATGAGGGAGCGGGGCAGCCGACTTCAGAGGGGCAGCCGGCCCCGTGTGACCGTGGGTGAGTCCCTCCGCTTGCTGGACCTGTTACCTCGTCTGAACGATGGGGAGCGTACCCGCCTGCGTGCGAACAGCTCCGGAAGCACTCTTCAGAAGTCTGGTTCGGGTGGGGATGTGATTCTCACCTCTATCTCCCGCCATCCTCAGGGGCATCCTGTGGACCCTTCACCCTTCCAAAGCCTGTAGGCCCCCAAAGCCTGGGCCGCCTCCCCCTGGCTGGTCTCCCCAGCAGGGCTGAGGGTCTCACCCCGCTGACAAACATCCCCTCAAAACTTCAATCAAAATGAAAAGCTACAAAGGGCGCTGCTTATAACAAGGTTTTAATAAAATAAAAAGTTCAAGTGCTTCCAATCCCCCAACATACCCCATTCTGGTGTGGGGGAGGGGAGGGACCCCCACACCCCAGTAGCACCAGGGATAGCACCATGAGAAAGATGAGGTCGCATCCGGCCTCCCTGAGACCCACGGGCTGGTGAGGACGTGTCCCAGACACCTCCCCAGCCTGCCCCCCACCTCGGACAGTCGCAGAGCTGGGAGCAAGCCCACTCCCTTCCGTAGCGCAGTCTCTAGGCAGTGCCACCCCCAGGTCAGGTCTGCCTCCTCCTGAGGCCTGGGCTTCTGGGGAGACGCCATGGGGTGGCCCCCACCCCTTATGGCTTTGCTCCCTGGGCAGGAGGTGGGTAGGGAAGGGAATGGCTCCCACAGTCCTGAGGCTGGAGTTGGGGTGGGAGGGCAGCAGTGGCCAGGGCACCCTGCTGGGGTGGGGGTGGCTCAGGGGTCAGCAGTCACAAAGGGTCAGGGGTCAGATCCCTGGGTGTCTCCAAACCAACCCAGTCCCGGGCAGAACTGTGCTGGGGCCAAGGGCCAGCTCCCTCCCAGAGGTCCAGCGGCTCCTTCTAGAGGTCAGTGAGTCCCCGAGAACTTGGGGCTCAGGGGGAGGGGGGACGAGGAGGGACTCCTTCCTCTCCTGGCCTGGGGCCTCCCTGTCCAGCCCATCACGGCCCGTCACCGTTGACATCCAGGTCAATGGAGCCGTGGCTGACCACCAGCCTCAGGCGCTTGGGTGGGGAGAAGGGGGCGAAGGCAAGGGCCTGCTTGGGGATGGGGGCAGGGCCTGGGGTCCCCGCAGGCGCGGGGGCAGCGGGTGGGGCCGGCGCCACGCGGCTCAGGTCCACACGCACCACGTAAGGCAGCCCATAGCGCCGGGCCCAGTGCCAGTCCTGCTGAGGGGCCCAGTGGGCGCGGGGGGCCGGGCCCAGGGCCACGAGGGCCTCTGCACGCAGGCAGCAGTGGGGACCACAGCCTCCCCATTGGTGCAAGGAGACACGGGCAGTGCGGAGAATGGGGGGCGCTGGGGCCCGCCGGGGCTGGGGGCGCCGGCGCCTGCGGGGGCGCACCCGGAGCTGGGGCTGAGGCAGCCACTGGAGCCAGAGGGGCGAGGCGTCAAGGCGGGCACTGCAAGGCAGGGGGCGCCTGGGCTGGCAGGCAGCTGCAGAGGCCGGGGGGGGGGAGCGGGGAGAAAGGAGTGTGAGCAGGGCCTCTGGCAGGGACCCAAGGGTGGGAGGTGGCGGGAACAGACAAGGGGTTGGGCCTGGGGGGCTCACCACAGAACGGGTCCCGGCGCAGCGGGGAGAGGTGGGCACAGGCCCTCGGGCCCAGTGGACCCTGCCGGCCACTGCCATCCAGGCCCTGCTGCAGCCTCCGCTTCGTCTCCCGGAGCTCATACTTGTCCAGGGGCCGAGGGGGTAGCGGTGCCCGGGGCTGCAGGCGGAAGGCTCCTTCGCCTTTCCTGGGGGGGGGGGGAAGGGAGGGAGAGAGAAGGGAGCGGGCCCTGAGGAAGCACTTCCGGGTTCATCACAGCGGCCCCCTTGCCGCTGCCCTCCTCCCCAGGACCCCTCCTGGGTGCCTCACCTCTCACATGTGTAGCATTCACAGTGCTCATTCTTCTCACCAAAGAAGCCCTCCCCATAGAAGCAGGTCACCTCGTCCCCTGGCTCAATGTCCCGGAGCACCTTCACGCAGGCCGCGTTCCCATCTGCGGGCACAAACTGGGGGCCCGGCTGCTCAGCGGCCTGTCCTGGGGGCCGCCGGGCTCCCCTCCGCCTGGCCAAGTGCACTCCCAGGGACTGGGACCAGGGCAGGGATGGGTAGGGGCTGGGAGCCCCCGGGAGGCCACCTCTCTGCACACACTCCCTGACCTCCCGCCCAGTTGCTGGCCTCCACCCTCCCTGCAGGACGATGATCTAACTGGCCCCTGGCAGTGTTAGCAGCCCGCACTGCCTGCCCCCTCCTACACCCTTCCTCCGCCCCCTCTGACCTGCCACAGCCCACCCCCACTCCCCCCAGCCTGCACCCTGGCGGCCAGGTCCCAGCTCTGGCCGGCTCCCTTCCCATGCCCGTGCACTCTGCAGCTCCAGTCTGGGACGGCTTCCCCGACCAGCCACTCCTGCCCCTGCCTCTGCCCCGCCCCCGGGAGGAGTGGGACTCCCATGGGCCCCTGCACTCTAGCCTGACACACGCGTAGGTAGGGGTGGCTCTCACCACCGCCTGCCTGATCCCAGGCCAGTGGGCTGGAGCTTCTGTGCGCAGGGTCTTGCTTCCTTGTCCTCTCTACTCCCCCGGACTCTCACCCAGTTACGCAGCAGGTCACACATCAGGTGACACGCCAGCCTCTGGCCCCTCTCCTTCCTGCCAAGCCTCTAGCTCCTCAGCTGCCAGGCCATCTCAAAACCCAGCCCCATTCTTCACCCAGGAGGAGCGTCCATGGCAGACTGGAGCTCCTCTGTGGCACACGAGGCCAGAGTCACTGTGCCGGGCCTGCCTCCAGGAGGCCCTCCACTGAGACGTATCCGTCTGGGATGCCCTGACACGCCTCAGTTTTCCTTCAACACCTAGGAAAATCCTAGTCCTCCTTCAGGGCCTGGCTCTGGCGGGACTTCTGGGCAGCCTCCCTGCTCCGCATGGTGCCCGGCTCCTGGGCCCTCAGGTGGCTGCCACCCGCCTCACGAAAGGGCCTTGTTTTCTGTCCTACCCTGCACGTTTCCCACCCCCAAAACCACGTCACGGGCCTGCAATCACAGAGCACAGGAACCATGGGTGTGTGCTTCACCTCCGTAGCAGGAGGCCAGTGGAGAGGAGTGAACGCGGCTGGGGGCTGCTGGGGGCTGCTGGGGGCCTCTGGAGCCAAGACTCGAACCCAGTTCTAACCCCGGAGCCCCAGTGCCAAACCCCTGCCACACCTCGGGGCTCCACACTTGGCAGGATGTGCACCCGAGGCCTTCCCGAGACAGCTTTCTCACACTCCACACAAAACACAAAGTGGTCCCCCCCAAACACTGCTTCCCCAGCTCACTCCCTCTGCCTGGAGGCCCAGCCTCCCAGAGCCTTGTGCTCTGGGGCTCACCCCGGCCCCACCCGGGTGGCACGGATTGGCAGGGTCCTGCCACCTGGCCCCCCGGCCTCCTGCTGTGGCCAGGGGGCATCTCCACGTCAGGCCTGGGGCTCCAGGTGCAGGGGCACTTTCTGTCTCCCCATCACCACATTCCCCCCTCCAAGTGGCACATGACCCTGGCCGAGGCCCCCTCCCCCAAACTCTGATAGACTCTGATAGCTGCAGGCACAAACTGGGTTGTGGCCGGGGTGGGGGACTCTGGGCACTTTCTGGCTAGTCACTGACCCAAATGCCCCTCCCCGGGGCCCCCTTGTTTCCCCCATGCCCACTCCTGAGGGGGGGGCCCAAGTCTCACCTTGCAGTTGGGTTTGCAGTCTGGAGCATCAAGGAGAGGGCGGGGGAGAGAAGAGACTCAGGTGAGTGGAGGGCTGGGCAGAGGAGAGTGGGGGACCACCCCTCCATGCCTCCCCCCCACCTGCCCTGCCCCGCCCCCACCATGGTTTATGAAGGCTGCAGGGCCCAGCCACAGCTGCGCACTGCGTTTTCGGGTGGAGTACATGATGCTGAAGTCGTTCTCCCCGGCCCTCAGCAGCCCCTCGTCGGCCTCCCGCAGCTCTGCGATGCAGCCCACCAGCAGTTCCAGCTTCTCGTTCTTCTTCCTGCCAAGAGGCCAGGCCGTGGGTCTTCGGGCAGGGCCTCCAACCACCGTCCCAGCTGACGGGGTCTCTGGGGGCCAGGGGCCCCAGGCCTCCAGGCCGCTGCCGGCCACTGTGGCCCTCCTCCCAGATGTCTCGGATCCACCCGCCTTCCTGGGGCGCTCCCTGGATCCAGCATCCTCCAGGACAGGACGGCGCCCACACAGGACACCACGTGGACCCAGGCACCCCTCCTGCTGTCCTCTCGCCCGGGGCTCCTCCTCCAGTGCCAACTGCCCTTGGGCCTCACACAGGTGCTCCTTCACCTGGACTGCCCAGGAGCCCCAGTAACTCCTCGCAAGCTGCTACCCAGCCCTCCCACCCCCCGCCACGCTTCCGCAGACCCTCTGGTGGGCCTCTGCTTAGGCCTGGCTCCCAAGAACACTCAAAATTCCCTTGTGGCTGATGAAGCACCAAACAACTGAGGTCAGTACCTGTGTGTGTACTCGGCTGCCACCTGCTTTCTGTCTACACTGTGAGCGGCCGGCAGGGTCCATCCTGCTCACTGTCCTGTGTTTTACCCAGCAGTGCGTGCTAGGCCCCACTGGCACCAAGGGATGGCTGCCCCACTGGCCACTCCTGCCCCTGCCTCCTGAGCACAAACAGTACTTCCCTAGCAGGACCTGGAACCCTAGGGTCCCATGGGGTTCTCATCCCCCATCGGGGCTGCTGTAGGCGAAGAGGGTCTGTGAGCTCCGCCCTCTTACCAAGCTCTGGTAGACACAATCTTGGCTCCATTTGTCTCCATGGAATAGCGTGTACAGGGTAGGATGGTAAAGCCGCTTTCAGGCAGGAAGGCTCGGAGGTAGCGATAGATCTGGGGGAGGTGAGGGGGTGGGCGGGGTGAGGAGCTGGGGCAGGGTCGTCCTCGGCCCCCTCTCTCCTGGGTCCTAGTCCTGCTCTACCACTGACTTGCTGTGTGGTCTTGGGGGACTCACTTCCCCTCTTGGGGGCTCAGTTTCTTCATCTGTCAAATGAAGAGGTTGTACTCCATCTCAGAGGACCCCCAACTCTCCTCTCCTTGGATTCTCTGAGCCTCGTCTCAGATGGTCCCAATGGCTAGGAAGTTAGGGAGTCTGGGGTGGGGAACTTCCGAGGGGTCTGGAGCCCCAGGCTCCAGAAGTTCTGCCTGGCAGGGTTGAGGACCCAGGACAGGCCGAGGTGACAGGGAGGACACATGGACTGAGGGTGGGGGAAGGGAAGGGTGCCCTCACGTGGGTCTTGAGGGCAGCCTCCTGCCGCGGGCCCCGGCTCTGGAAGTAGTGGGCCATCCAGCCTCCCAGCGTCAGGGCCCGGTACGCAGCCTCCAGGTCCCGCTGCCTCAGGAAGGCCTCCAGCGCTGAGCGCAGGTGGTGCTGTCGCCGCAGGGGGGGCACGGGGCTGGGGGAGAGGGCATGCCTGGGTCCCAGGGCCTTGGCCTATTCCCTCCGGGCCTTCCCGGGCCCCGCCCCCACCCCCACTTGGGGCTGCAGGGGCCGTGGAGTAAGGGAAGGGGTCCCCGCCGAGCCCTCGGTCCACCCTGTCCCAGGCCGCCTCACCTGACGTTCATCTTATGGGTGCGGAAGCCGAGGTAGGGGTCCAGGACAAGGCTGGTGGCAAGGTCGTCATTCTCACACAGCTCTCTGGCTGTCACTCTGTCAGGTCCCATGGTGCTCCACGGACCATGCTGCCTCTGGCCCAGAGTGGAGGGCGCAATGGAGGGGCAGGGGCAGCGCCCCAGGACTCCCACTTCTGAGCTGCCCAGGATTTGGCAAGCCTTTCAGTCTCCAGTCTCATCTACAAACCAGGGAGTAAAGGCAGGCTGACTTCACAGGGCTCTCAGCGAGGACGGATGCAACAAGTACTTCCGACAGTGGGGAAGCCCCCCAAAGAAACGTCAGTCATCGTCATGAAGATCTTCGTGCTCTGGACACAGATACCAATCCCCCAAGCACACACGACCACCTGCTGTGCACACCCACACACTCACAAGCAGGTTCCCTCATGTCCCCACGAGTGCACGCGCGCGCGCGTGCACACACACACACACACACACACACACACACACACGGGCGCGCGCACGCACAGTCCCTACTGGCCCAGGCAAGGCTGATTAATTGGCAGTCAGGGATAACCCTAAAGGCTTAGCCCTGCAGGAGGTGGGAGTCGGGGGAATCCATCTCCACCTCCAGCCCTCACCAAGGAAAAATCCAAGGCTTCCCACCGCTAGGACTGACTGTTCCTCCACCCACCTCCATGCTTGCTGGCCTCAGCCTCCACCTCCCCCATGGCCCTCCCATCCTCCCCACCCCACCAAGCAGCCCTTGGGAATCATCAGGAGGCTCTGGGTGAAGCCCCAGGCAGCCTGGAGGGGGGTGAGGGGAGGGAGAGCGGAGGACGGATCCCAGCACCTGCTCCCTCTCCAAGGATTCTGGGGGAGGGGGGGCTCAGAGGACAAAGCGGGGAAGGGGGCAGAGAAAAGGAATGATATGGAGAGGCAGAACAGGTCTATAAAAAGGGGAGAAAAAAGGGAATTAGCAAAAGGAAACAAACAAGACCCCTAACCCTGACTACGGAGGGCCTGCTGGGCATCCAGACCCTGGTGCTTCAGGGAGAGTCCATGGGGGACGGCAGGGAAGGGGGAGCAGAAGACGGATCAGCAGCCAGAGCTGGGGGGAAAGGGGTTCTAGAAAAGACAGGAAGGCTGGAGATAAAGAGGGGGAGCTGTGAGAGGGCGCCGGGACAGAGCGGAAGCTGCAGAGAGGCATGTGGGGAAAGACAAAATACACAGACTGCACAGAGGGGAGCTGGGGCAGGGAGAAGAAGGGCCGGGGGTGCCTGCTGGACACAGAGCGCGGCGGAAGGCTTGGGGGTCAGGGATGACCCCACCGAAGCCAGAGTGGAGACCTAGGGTCGACGGTAGGTCCTGAGGAGGTGGAGGGGGGCCTAGGGGTCCACAGCCGGGCTTGGAGAGGCAGAGAAGGGGCAAGTCCTGCGCGTGCAGGGAGGAGCGAGCCTGGGGTCCAGGCAGGGACCTGGGCAGGCACTGAGGGTCCAGGAGCGGGGGCTGAGGTCCGGGGGGCGACACTGGGGAAGCAGATAGGGGCCTGGCAGCCAGCGAGAGTGCAGGGGAAGGGCCTGAGGTCCAGGGAGGGGAGTAGAGAGTCAGAGGGCGACCCGAGGGGTCCGCTCAGGCCCGGGAGTGCGGGGAGGGGCCTGGGTGAGGAAGCACAGGGAAGGGGCTGGGCGCCCGGGGCAGCCTGAGGCCCGCCGAAGGGCCGGGAGACGTGGGCGCCTGGACACGAGGAGGGGCCGGGCGGGGCGGGGGACGGTCGGGGCTGGGGGCGACCGGGAGCCAAGGCGGCGCGGGCTGGGGGCCGAGAGGGGGCTCAGAGGTCGGGCCCCGCGCCGCCCCTCACCCGCTTCTCCTCCTCCTCCTCCTCCTCAGGCACCCGCGCCGCCGCCGCCACCACCTCCCACTGCCTGCTCCAGCTCTCGTCAGACACGGTCGCCGCGCCTCCCGTCTGCGCCGCCGGGCCCGCCCCGCCGCGGCCAGCGGGAGCTCCCATTGGCCGAAGCCGCCGCCACTCCTCAGTGGCTGCGGCGCTCATCGCCGCTCCCATTGGCCGAGTCCCACTCGGCCCCTGCCCTCCCGTCCGTGCCCCTACGAAACCCCGCTCCGCCCGCGCCGCTGCCAAGCGCCGCCGACTGCGGCTAATGGCTCCCGTCGCTGTCCTTCCACCGCTGCCATGGAGACTTGCCCCGCCCACGGCTCGGAGTCGACGCCCTCATTGGCCGAGAGCGTCGTGGCTCCAGGCTAAACTCGGGTTTGGGTCAGGTTATTCGGGTCCAAGTGGAAAGGGGGCGGGCTCTGCCGGCTCCACAGCGCGCGCGTGATTGACTGGCCCTGGAACGGCTCGTCCTTCCATAGGCTAAGGCCTCCGCCCGTCACCGTAGAGCCGCGACTGGCCCATTCTCTTTCTCCGGTGAAACCTTCGCGAACCGCGGGGAGAAAGCTGGGGCGGGCGCGAGGGGTGGGTGCGCGGGCGCCTCCGTTGACCCCGCCCGGCCTGCCGTTGCCAAGGCGACAAAAGTTTATTGACAGCCCTGCCCGGCTACAAAGGGCGCCTCGCTCTCCCTCTCTGCTCGACCACCTTCTCCGCCCCACGTACCCCGGTTAATTTCGCGAGCACCCACGGGAGCTCTGCGGGTGAACGGGTCGCGGAGGAGGAGCCCGAGAAGTGGGGCCTTTGGAGAAGGCTCCCACCGGGCAACCCCCTCCCCCCAACCTGCTCCAATCCTGGAGGCATCCATAATTAGCAAGTCGTCATAATTACGCCCAGAATAATAAGCTCCGCGCTTGGAGCAGGCGGTCTTTGTTTTGCTCAGTGCTGTGTATCATGGTGCGCTTTGAACAATGCCTGGCACGGAGTAGGTGCTTCCTTAATGTGTACTGAATGAATGAATGAATGAATGACCAGCCAGCGAGGATGAAGCGGAGGGTTTCTGCGTCGCTCTGTGACGGTGGGAAGTGGCTTGCCCTCTCTGGCCCTCAGGTTCGCGTTTGGAGAACAGGGACCACACTGGTCCCTCTCTGAGGGTTTCTCCTTAACACCCTCCTAGGTGTCTTCAATAGCGCTTCCAGCCTCCCCACCCCCATCTCTGTTTATGCTGTTCCTTCCCCAGCTGGGACTACCCCCAACTCTGAGACTGCTCTCCCCAACCGAGGTACCCCTACAGCCCCCCAGTAAGGATGGCCACAGCTCCAGAGGAGAGCAGCGGCCAGCAAGCAGAGAGGACTCCAAAAACTGAGCTCTCTGGCAAAGTCCAAAGTCCTATCAGTATGTCTGAATCTTGGAAGTGCATTCCTTATGTACACCCTCAAGAAACACTCGCAAATGTGAGCAGAAAGATAAGCTCCCAACAGTGTTTGCAGTGATGGAAAAAAAAAACCCAAAAAACTGGAAACGGCTCAAATGTCCATCACATGAAGAATGGATAAATGGATCGTGACATATTCATACAGGGGAACACCATACAGCAGTTAAAGGGAATGAACCAGCACTCCGGATATCAACCTGGACAACCGCAAAGCATGTTGCTGGTTGTGGAAGTCTGCATAGTTGAGTGCGGGAAGTTTTAAAGCACAGAACACAAGGGTTGTGGGTGGATGCGTGTCTTAAATGTGTATAAACATGCATTGGCGTGACAAAAGGAGGGGCAAGGCCCTACCGGTGACCCCTGCAGGTGGGACGGAAGAATGCAATCAGGAAGCCACACAGGACATTGATATTTGCACTTTTTTTTTTTTTTTGTAAGCCCAGAGGTGGAAATCATGAGTTCGCTATATTCACTATCTGTTGTAAAAACAACAGATGCGTCAAAAGATTTCTTAATATGAATAAAAATTTGACCTGCCGGGTACCTGGGTGGCTCAGGTTATGACCCCAGAGTCCCACCTCAGGCTCCCTACTCAGCAGGGAATCTGCTTCTCTGCCCCTCCCCCGGCTCGAGCACTCTCTCTCATGCTCTCAAATAAATAAAATCTTGGGGGAAAAAAATTGACCCGCCAATTCCACTGCCAGGGTTTTTTTCGAAGGAAATAACTGACAAGTGTTAAGGTATTTATATATAAAGATGTCTGTTTCAGTGTTGTTTAAAACACAGAAAAATAGAAAGAGCCTTAATGTCCAACAATAGAAGATTGGTTGGATCACTTACAGCAAATCCACCAGATGGAATAACGACAATGCCTAATAGTTACTGAGCTCTTAGCACAGGCCAGTGATTTTGCAAATAGCCCTGTGGGGGATGGGCTGTTGTGACCCCCATTGTACAGATGAGCAAAGTGAGGCTTACAGAGGGGATTGAACAGGCCATCAGACACCAGAGGTTTACTCTCAAACTCTGGGCTGTGGCGCCCAGATAGCATCCAGCGCGTTCTCAATCTCAGATGGCATAGCAAGAGGCACCCCAGAGAAGGCATGAAACTTGGACACATTCTATAACATAGATGGACCTTGAAAACATGCCAGGTGAAAGGAGTCAGACACAAAAATTCACCTATGGAATGATTCAATTTCTTTCTTTTTTTTTTTAAGATTTATTTATTTTAGAGAAAGTGCGTTTGGCGAGGAGGAGCGGGACAGAGGGAGAGAATCTCAAGCCCACTCCCCACTGAGTGTGGAGCCCCATTTGGGGCTCCATCTCACGACCCTGAGATCATGACCTGAGCGGAAATCAAGAGTCACACGCTTAACCGACTGAGTCCCCCCCCCGCCCAGTCACCCGGGAATGATTCCATTTCCAAGAAATTTCCAGAATAGGTGAATCCATAAACACAGAAGGCGGATTCATGATTGCCAGGGGCTGGGCACGGGGAGGTGGGGAGGGACTAATAATAGGTATGGGGTTTCCTTTTTGGATGAAGAGGTTCTGGAACTAGAGAATGGTGATGTTGCAGAACATCGTGAGTGTACACAAAGCCATTGAATTGTATACTTCAAAATGGTTAAAAGGGTAAATTTGATGTTAAGTGTATTTTACTACTGAGAGAGAGAGAGAGAAATAATCACCTGGGAATATAATGAAAATAGAGATTCTAAGTCTCAGCCTCCAGAAAGCCCGGTTGAGTATTTAATAATTAATCATTTTATTTTATTTTTTAGA